AGGCTCTATCTGCACACAGAACAGCTCCTTCTGGCTGGTTCCTGGTCCGGGGCCATGGAGGTCCATGGGCCTCCTTGTGAGCAGGGCCACACTGAGGAGGCCCTGAGGGTCCACCCAGCTAGGAGGGGCATTTAGAAACAGGCAGTGGAGGATGAAGGTTGTATAGCCCAGGAATGACTGAGTGAGTCAGGTCATTGTCAAGGAAACAGAACCGAGTGTTCGGTCTGAAGAGCAAGACAAGGAGCTTTAGTGGCAGCTCTGCCCAAATCCTCTTTGGGGCTGTGTTTGGTGCTGATGGCTCTCGGCTCCCACCATCTCTGAAGAGTTGCCCTCGGAGAGTGGGAGCTGCCTCCCCTAAAAGGCTACACACTCCTGGAGAGCCTGCAACCCATGGCTGAGTAACTGACTGACAAGAGGGGTGTACGAAAGTCAGACCCTTTGTCTCACGGAGGGGCAACTCTGGCAGTTGGTGCTCCAGACCTCCCTGTGGGATGAGGCCAAGCCCACCCTTGCTCAGCTCCTCCTTTGCCTATTCTGCTTCTCTCCTGCCCTTTCTCCTGAGACGGCTCCCCACACAAACCCCACACACTCAAATACTTGTCTCAGGCTCTGCTTCCAGGCAACCTGACCTACAAAGGGGTCCGAGGGGCAAGGAGTAGGACAAGATGAGACGAGAGAGGGGCTTCTGCCCATTGTGGGTGGGGTGGAGTTCTCTTTGCTGGGGGAGATGGTCTGGGGGTATTGCTACGGCTCTCCAGCATTTCCTGCCCCATCTGAAAACCGAAGCTCCGATTCCCTTTGGGATCCTACTGATCTCCCATTCCCTAGGCGATTTGGTAGGAATCACACCACTCACAGCTCTGGGTTCTGGACTGATTTGTCTGTCTCCCCCGACATAGTGGTTGATTCAGGACATAGGGACAACTCTGAACCAATGAAATGCTGGTTTCTGGGCTCCCTCTTTCCAGGGGAGCGGGTGAGCATCCACCTCAGCCAGCTGTTTCTGCCGCCTGTCGGGCAGAAGGGAGACTGCCACCCACAGCAGTCCCGGGAAGGAATCTGGTGATGTCATTTTGGCCCTGAATTGAACTGCACCTGAAGCTGACTCACATCTAAATGACTCTGTTATGAGAACTGATAAATCTCTCACTTTCTGAAGCCAGTTTGAGGAGGGTTTTCTGTCCCTGGCAACCATGAGTCCTAACAGTCATGCACCAGTGACCAGTGTGCTGAATGGTCGGCACAGGGATCAAAAGGAGCCAGCAAGCCCACAGAAGTTGGAGCTAGCAGAGCACATCCACTCTGTCCTCCACTTCTATTCCAGTCACCTGCCCTTTCCCTAAGCTGCCTGGTCACCAGAGGACTCTGGCCAGAACGAGGCTAGTGTGGGGCAAGGGCACCAGTGCTGCTAGGATTTTTGGTGTCTGTGGCCAGTTCCTTGGAGTCTCGACTTCCCCCAGGGAATCTATGGCCTTGTGTCTTCTCTGGGATGGAGCCCAGGGAGCTTATTCCAGGCAAGGAGGAGCAAGGCCATCCATTCATTAGGGGGTGAAGGAGCTTCCTTTGCGGTTCCCTCTCAGGACTACGGTCTGGAGAGAATCAGGCCAGGGGCATGGGGTACTGTGTGCTTGGCCTGGCACTTCCAGCTGTGTGGCCTGCTGTTTGGCCTCTCTGAGCATCAGGTCTCCCTCTGGAAAGTGTAGATAAGCCTGCTCCCCTACAGGGGCCCCAGAGGCAGTAGCTGCTGGACCTGATTCCCCGGCATGCTTCCTGAGGATGGACATGGATCCTGGCCTGGCAGAGGCAAAGTAAGGTGGTGCCTGGAGTTCACAGTGAGAATGCTGACTTTGGCCAGGAGGCAACACAGGCTCCGGCCTATGACCCCCTCCCCCAGCCAGTTTAGGACCTGGGGGCACACGGTACTCACGATGTTGCGGGTGGCATCCCATCAGGACAGGAAAGTGGGCCGGCTCCACATTTCACCCACACACACACACACCATTCCCTTTGACTAAACCATTCTCCAGGCATCTCCAGTCCTGTCTGTGGGCAGATCTGAGTCCTTCCTGTGCCACAGCTAGAGGACAGGCTAAGGTGACCAAGGCCTTGGACCGGAGAAGTCCCCAGCCCTACTATTATCCCTGCTCAGCAGATGAAGAGACCAAGGCACAGATGTTAAGCAACTTGCCCAAAGTCACACAGCTAATAAATGACAGAGCTGGGATTTGAGTCCAGGCACACTTGGCTCTGGAGCCTGGACCATGAGCTGTCCTCCTGCGCTGCCTTCCCCCAGCCCCTTCCCATGACCAGTGTAGGCTGCTATGCCCCTCCCATGGGTACCTGTTTTTCTGGGGGCCAGAGGAGACAAAATGAGATGCCTGAGGAGCTCATGGTCCTGGGAAGGAAGCACAGAAACGTGGGCTGTCACTCTTTCCTGTCCCCATGGGATGTCATTCATCTCCATCCGGCAGGCGCCATGCGCCCCAGGTCCTGGGATGGCTGGGGAGGGGGTGCACCAAGCCCGAGCTTGTCTTGTTACTTGGGCAAACTCCCATATGTCCATTGCAAACCCTGGTACTGACCTTACCCTTGCCTTATCTTTGGCAGGTGAAAAGGGGAAGAATCTTTGCCAGGAAAAAACGTGAGCTGTGAGTTGAGAAGAGAGAAAGATCAATTTCAGAGCTTGAGGGGGGCAGGTGCTGTGGATAAAGGGAAGAGCAAACGCCACGCTGTGGTGGCAGCATGAGAGGAGCAGGTTTGAGCTGTCTGAGCCCGGCCGTGCTAGCAGTGAGGAGGTCAGGTTCAGGAGATAGGAGGCACTTGTAATGGTCCAGGTGGGTGCTGATAGGAGATCTGAACTAAGGTGGGGTCCATGGGATGAGTTACCCTATGTCTGTCTCCCTGGGGGCAAGTTGTCTTTGTCCATACTGAGCTGGTAACTCCCAACCCAGCCAGCCCCAGTCCTCAGATGGTCACCTCCATCTTGGCCACCTGTTCCCACCACCCAGGGATGTGGGCAGCAGGGATCATTAACCCAAGCCATGAACTCACTCTCCCTCCCAGCACATCTGGCTGGATAGAAGCCCCTCCTCCACCTCCATCTCCTCCCCTGGGCTTCCAGCCCAGCTGGGCATTTCCCTCCTTGCAAGAATGCAGAGGAGCACGCCTGCCACTGTCAATATGCTCTACTGCCCAGGAGTGCCATGCACATGTGCCTGAGTTACACAGCTTCCTAGGAGGCAGAATTGCCTGGAAATCAAGTGGCCTGGGTGTGGGTCCCCCCTTACTCCATTGCTCATGAGTCCCATGGCCCTCAGTAATCTATTTATGCTGAGGCTGAGTTCTTTCATCTATGAATTGGGGATCAATTGTTTGCCTTCCAGGACTGCTTTCTGGACTGAGAGTCATGTGGATATCATCTGCAAAGTTTGGAAGTACTGCTTAAATGTTGTGTATGTTTTCATTCATCTACCAATCTCCACTGAGCTCTGACTCTACACAATGCCAGAGGACGAACATATGGTTGCACTTCCAACCTTCATGATGTTATTCCAGCTCTCAAACACCCTGTGATGGGGAAAAGCTTTGCTTGAAACACAAGTTATATTCACATTCTTTGAATGGGAAAATGGCTTAAATTAAAGGAGGAGAGATTTTTATCAGGACTAACTTCCCAATGCACGAGGCTAGCTCATTCCTGAAAATCTTCCCAGAACAAGAGAATCAATCAAGCACCAGAGTAGACACCAAACAAAGTGCTAAGTGGAATGGACTTTGTCATATCATTTCCCAGGGAACAAGGGAATGGATCAGATGGCTTCTCAGGACCCCCTCCTCCATTTGTCTTTCTGAATACCATTTTTACGCATAATTCGTGCCCAGGGTAGAGGGAGAATCTAGGGATGGCACTCAGATCTGGCTCAAACCAGCTGTGTGACCTTGGAAATATGCACTCTCTAAGCCTCTCATTCTTCTCCTGAATGCCAACCTGAATGAGAAATACCACACACTTCCTAGAATAATGTCTGCACTTAACATTCCACAAGTGTTGGTTGGATGGATGAACGAATGAATGAATGAATGGTACTCAATGTGTCCACCTGTTGAACGTGTGCAGGGGGATGCCTGTCTACAGGTTCCCTGTCTGTCTAGGCTTCTGCAACCTGCCTCTGTGCCCAAGGCCCAGGACCAGAGGAAGGCAGCTGGGGGCTTGGGGTCTGCATCTTCATGCCCAGTGGCCTGGGCTGTCCTCCCGTCTCAGGGCATGGGCAGCAGGTATGCACTTCTGTTCCCACGGGGCTGCCTGGCTTGGCCCAAAGCTTCCTCTGCTGGGAGAGTAGCCTGGGCTGTAGCCCCACACTGACCTGCTCTTAACCCCCAGCAAAGTTACACAAACTCTTCCACGCTCTGCTGGTAGCCAGGTCACACAAGGTGGGGGTGGGAACAATGCTTCCCCTTGTCCCCTCAGCCTATTCCACCTCAGCACACATGGGAGAGGGATGCAGGAGGCAACTGTGAGGGGCTCCCAGCTCCGGTTTCAACCATGCCTGGAAATTGGATCTTCCTCCCTGGCCAGAACTCCCTGGGGCATGAAGGGGGCCAGAGCCTGGGTCTCAGCAGGAGCCTCCTCTCTTTTCCTTGTGGTTTCCCCTTCACCTCGGAGCAGATGGGTGCACCTCCTTCAGTGTGACTCCCTTCAGCAAATGCCCTCTGGTTCTGTGATGCACCTCCATGAAGACACTGGGAAGGAAAGGGCCTGTCCTGGGAATTGGGTCTAGCTGGGTCTAGCTGTGCTGTGGCCAAGGAAGATGCCAAGGAGTGTGCTAGCCAGGGGCTGAGAATGCAGGATATGGAGCCAGATTATGGGTTCAAATTCCAGCCTCAAATTGGGTACCTACTACTCTGACTCTCCTTTTTCTCATTGGCTCTAATACTCCCTACCCCCCTGGGCTGTGATGAGGAATAAAGGAGTTCTTATGCACAGAACACTCAAAGCAGCATTCAACATACACCACTGGGTAGTTTACTCTCCAAGGAGAGGCATGTGCTGTCCGTCCTCAACTTCCCAGGGAAAAGCAAATTGTTCAAATTGCCTAAAACAGAACAGAACTATTTAAAGTACATGAAATTAGCTGTCAAAATTGTGAAGCATAATCACAGTTTTGATTGCTTCGTGACAGTGTAAAATTGCAAATTTTTCATCAGGCAAGAAAAGGAAAACAAAGACTAACTACAGTCGGCCCCATCACCCCTCCCGTTGTGCTCTGCATGCCCATCTGAATCTGTTTGCTCTTGTTGACACATGCATAGATTTGCATCACTTGAGACACACGTTTGTTATTCTTCGTCAGTCTTTCTGTATTCAGGCTATAGTTGTACAGCGGCTAGTTTCTTTCCTGGTAACTACCATTGTTTGAAAACAGTGTCAAAACCAAAGTCTCTCTTCTTTTCTCTGACAATCCGTCACACCTAGGCCTTTCTACAGCCTCTGTCCCTAAGCTCTTCTCCTTCAGTGACCTCCCTTCTGCCTCGGGCCCCTCTCTTCTCCTCCTTGGTTCAGAATTCCTGAAAGAGAAGACACAGGAATCATCGGTGCCCCAGTTGGGGGAAATTATCATGACCTATCAGAAGAATTATCATGGCCTGTGAGAAATTTCAGAACCATGGACAACAGCACCCATGCACTGATCCGCTTGTCACCCCAACTCCCAAGTATCTGAGTTACAACTATATCTTTCTTAAATTTGCCTCCTCTTCTATAAAAAGGGAACTGGGAGTGGTGGAGAGACAAGACTATCTCTATGACCTCGCCCAGCTCTGTGACATAGCATTCATTCTTTGGCCTCACCTTTGCCTTTCCTTCCCTTTCTTCCTCTCTCTGTCTCTCCCTCCATCCCTTCCTTTGTTTTCCTACTTTGGTAGGGAACTTGCATTCATTATAATAGACTGGTAGCCATCACCCAGGAAGAGAAGTCAAACACAAATCTCTTCATCAGAGGGGCAGCATGCTAAGCCTCAGAAACTCTCCAGACTCAAGACTGAGCAGTCATTTGATTTTTCCCCTCTGCCCCTAGTCACCTACAGACACTGTGGTAGGTACAGAAAAAGACTGAGCCACTGCAGAGTCCACTGACTGAAGGAGCCATCTTAGTTACTTTTCTTGTTGAGACAAGATACCTGACAGTTTTATTTTGGCTCATGCTTTGTAGAGATTTCAGTCCATAACTGGCTGGCTCCAAGGCAGAGTGGCATGCCAGACAAGCATCACAGAGGAGAAACAGTTCATGGTAGGAAGAAGATAGCAAAGCAAGCAGCATCTTTCTGCCCCTTTTATACTCTATCTAGCCTACAGGTATTAGGGCAGTTCCAAACCAATCAGTGGACTTATTTCCTATTCACCCAACCTTAATCCTAGCACCTTAATCCTAGCATTGCACCATGAATCAGTCACACATTCTAGATCCAGGACCTCTTGAAAAAGCCCCACCTATGACCACATGAGGCTTTGGGAGACATCTAAACACAAGCCATAACAGGAGCAGAAATGTTTAGCTCATTTTCAAGCAACAGAGGGGTAGGAGGGCTGCTCATCTCCGTGCAGGAACAAAAGAACCAGCTTCCTCTGTGGGGCTCACTCTACCACCCCTTGGAGATGCCCTGCATGGTCACACTGGGCCACAGACACGCCTGTATATTGTCTTGAGGAAGGATCAAAAGGTGAATTAGCCAAGAGATAGCAACATATCATTTGTCATTTGCGATGACTTTGTCACATGGCCACATCAAGTCACAGGGGGCTCAGTACACTGGTTGGGAGCCATGTGCCAAGCTATGATTTTGCTATTTTAAAAAAAGAGGAGAAAAGACTGTGTTTCAACAAGTCCTCCAGAAACATTATCTCCCATCTAATGGGTGAGATAGAGACATCCAAATGGAAAACTTTGTTCCGGAAAAGAGAAAGGGATTTGAATTGAACACCACACCAAGTGTTTTCCTGTACACTGAAAATGTCCGGAAGTCTCATCTTCCAAACGTCCAGCTGAATCCAGCTACCTCCCCAGCCTTTTGCTTGTGCTATTTCCCCTATCTGCAGTGCCATCATCTCCTGGATGAATTGGTCTCAAGTTTAAGAATCACTCCTGGATCATTGAATTTTACATCAGAAGAGCCTAAAAACCATTTAGGGTAATGATAGAGTTTATAAGTGAGGAAATGGAGGTCCAAAGAGGGAAAGACTCTTGCCCGAGGTCACAGAGGAAGGTATCTCCCTAGCCAGAAAGCCTGTCACTAGGACTCAGGACTCCAAGTCCAGTGCTCCTTCACAACACTAAGAAATCCCTGCCTGGCCTACAGATTTCTGCTCTGCCTCTTGTCATGTGACTTTGGCAAATCTTCTGGCCTCTAGAGCTGTGAAAAGAAGAGATTCTTAAGCTGTGAAAAGAAGAGGTTGGATCAGGTTATGCCTGAGGCTCTATTAGGACCCAAACTCTGTTGCTTAATGGCAGAGCTTCCTCAGATTTGCAGATCCCGGTGCCTCTCAACAATGCTGAGATATCGCCCAGAAAAAAACTATACCTCTGCTCTCTCGTCTCCTGGGTGAACTCACAGTTGAATCTTAAGAAGGAGCTTTTCTTCTCACCTCCCTGTGGACCAGGCATGGAGCTGAGCACTCAACATGCTGTATCTCATGAAAAGCCCACTGAAAAGTGGTGATCCCAATTTTTTTAAGATGAAGAAACTGAAACTCGGCAAGGTTAATGCCTCTCTTGGGCAAATGGATTTGCTTTGATCCAAGGATTCCCAAGTGGGGAGGGAGGACCAGTGGGGGCGTTACAGGGAGATTTTGCCTTGATGGAATAGGCTATCTTGGAAAGGGGCGATTTCCTGGTCACTGGAGGTGTGCACACGCTGGGTGAAAGATCAAAGGATTTTAGCACCAGATGGGTCAAGGAAGGGGTCATGGGGTGAACTATATCAGTGATTCAAAAGATTCTCTTGGGAGATATGTTGACTAGCATCATATAATATTTCTCACACAGAGACAAAAAGTTACTCCTTTAATTTGTTTTTCAAACTTTCTGACTTTGACCCAGAGAAGGTCTCAGTTTGGTGCTGGTCCAGTTTGCATGCCTCCCAACCACTGGTAAATTCCCTTTTTAACAGAAGAGATTAAGCATCAGGCTCAGAGCTCAGGAGCCAGCAGTAGGACACAGCTAGACCAAAATAACATGAAGCTTTGTGCTTATTTTTATGGTTATATTCTTTCATGATAAATTGTTCTGGTTTCCCTATTACTGTGTGATGTGAAGTTTCATTTTAATGTGGATATATTTTAAGAACATGAGCAGACAAACCACAGACTGAAGGAAAAAATATTTGCAAAGCTCATACCTGTTAAAGGACTTGTAACCAAAATATACAAAGAACCCTAAAACTCAACAATAAGAAAGCAAATAACCTAATTAAAAAGTGGGCCAGACTGATCTGATGTGTAGTGATAGCAAAGATCTACAGATGCTCCACAGCATATGTCATTAGGAAACTACAAACTAAAGCAACCACGAGAGGCAACATATACCTGTTACACCAATGACACCCAATGCTACTGGGGATGCAGAACAACAGTAATTCTCATTTGTTATGGGTGTGGGTGCTAAACAGTACCACCACTTTGTGATGTGTTTTGGCAGTTTCTTACTAAGGTAAACATAGCTTCACCATCCAACCCAGTAATTGGACTGCTAGGTGTTTATCTGAGTTGAAACCTTATGTATATACACACACACACGCACGCACGCACACACACACGCACACGCACACACACCTGCACACAAATGTTTATAGCAGCTTTATTCGTAATTGCCAAGACTTGGAAGCAACCAAGATATCCTTCAATAGGGGAATGGATAAACAAACTATTGTGAACCCAAACAATGGAATATTATTTAGTATCCAGTCATGCAAAGACACGGAACAAGCTAGATGCATATTTCCGAGTGGAAGAAGACAGGCGAAAGACCACATACTGTATGATTTCAATTAGATGACATTCTGGAAAAGGCAAAACTATCCAGGGAATAAAAAGATCAGTGGTTTCCAGGAATTCTAGGAGACAGGAAAGGGATGAATAGGTGGGAGCACAGCAGGTTTTCAGGTCAGTGTAACTATTCTGTGTGGTGCTGTAATGGAGGGCACATGAAATGATACATGTACTCAGTGACAGAGTGCTTGCCTAGCATGCATAAGGTCCTGGATTCAATCCCAGGGCCAAAACCAGAAATTGTGTGTTCATCAAAACTCACAAAACTGTACAACACGAGCAAACTCTAATGTAAAACATTAGTTATTAGTAACATATCAATATTGGTTCATCAAGCATAACAGATGTTAACCACACCAATGAGGGACCTTAGTCATTGGTCAAATTTGTGGCCAGAGGGCCAGGGAATGTATGGAAACTTTAATTTTTGCTCTATTTTTCTGTAAACTTAAAACATCTTTAGGAATAAAGCATTAATTTTTTTAAAAAGTGAATGTATTTAAATTTAAGAGATGTTCCCACTAGCAATTTCACTTTTAGAAATACAGACATGTGGTCAGGCATAGTGGTACATGCCTGATGCCTGTAATCCTAGCTACTTGGGAGGCTGAGGCAAGAGGATTACAGGGCCAGTGCCAGCCTGGGAAACAAACACACGTACTCTTTAAAAAAAAAAAAAGCTGGGAATGTAGTTCAGTGGCAGGTACTTACCTGGCACACAGGAAGCCCTGGATTCCCAATACTTTTCCCAGAATTGCAAAAAGAAAGAAAAGAAATATATACATTAAAGTCATATCAAAAAGCTCTTTGGAGCAGCACTATCCATAATACATAACAGGTATAAACCTCCCAAACATCATGTTGAGTATATGAAGCCAAATACCAAAGAGTCTATCCCATTTTTACAGTTTTAAAAAATGCAAAACTGATCCATGCTAAGAGTCAGAAGAACAGTTACCTGGGAAGGTGTTTTGAGACTCATGGCAGCGGGAGGGGGTTGAAGGGCTTCTGAGATTCTGGTAACGCCTTGTTTCTGGTTCCGGGTGCTGGTTACACAAACATATTTACTTTGTGAAGATTCATCTAGTTATTCACTTACAAGTCATATGCCTTTTTGTAGTGCAGTATACATTTCTGCATAAAAATGGATCCATTAAAACTATGGGTGAAACCATACGACCCAGTATTTTCCCCCTAGAGTTATGTCCAACAGAAACACATCCATGTGTCCTCCAAAAGACGTGCACGGGGCTGTCCACAGTACCCTCGTGCTTGATAGCTCCAAACTGGAAACAACTCAGATGTCTGCCAGCAGGAGAATGGATAAATAAACTGCAGTGAACCCATACAATTGGATACCATGCAACATGTTGAATGGGTGGAAATTACAGGTGTGATGCTGCACGAAGAAAGCAAGACAAAGAAGAGCGTTTACTGGAAAGTTCAAAACCACAAAACCGATCTGTGTTTGAGTGGTGCTGAGGGGGAGGGGTTATGAGAGGCCCTGGGGGCTGGAAATATTGCATACTGTGATGGGGCATTTGCACTTTAAAAATACAAGGGAGACTTTTGGGGGTGGATCTTCCAATGCTGAACCAACACTGCCATCCCTATAATAAAACCACTTTCTACATCCTGCCAAAAAAAAAAAAAAAAAAAACAAGGGAAACTCAGAAATGGCTAACGTTATGAAAGTAAAATGCAGTTGAAATTAGGAACCAGTAGATAAGCAGTTCTTCAGAGGTCTTCTGACTGCAGAATCCCCCTCCCCACCAAGGGCCCAAGGTCTTAAGGTCAGGTGATCAGAAGAGGCAGCAGGTTTAGGGGGTCGGACACCAGCTTCCCCCTCTCTGTCCCTTGGGCCAGCTCTGAGCCCTGCAACCAGAGGCCCTGGGGTCAGGAGGGCCTGAGCCTGATCAGATTCCTGCCTGAGCCTTTACAAACAAACAGGAGGCCTTCAGGGTGCATGTGCTGCCATCCCTCCCTGTTCACACCCAAGGCACCGTGAATTTTCTCGCAGGCTGTCCCGGCCTCCCATGGCCCCTCCTGGACCACCACCCACCAGGCATCTCCCTTGGACTCTTCACCGGCATCATCTCTCACCCACCTGACTCTTCTAAAGGTCACACGGAGACAGACTTCATGCCTTTCCCTTTCCACACCTCATTTCCACCTCTGCAAAGTGCAGGAACTGAAAGGATTCAGGACCATTTGGCCTAAAAGCATGGACCAGCCCCTCCCATGCTGGGGTCCCTTCTGCAACACCTGGTGGTTACTCAACCTCTGTCTGAAGCCCCTTCATAAATGGGGGCTCCCCATTGGCTGTTAGAAAGCGCTGTCTACACTCCGCTCTTTGATCTTTGACAAAGGGGCTAAAAACATAAACTGGAGGAAAGATCGCCTCTTGAGTAAATGGTGCTGGGGGGAAATTGGCTAGCCACGTGCAGAACACTGAATCTAGACCCATATCTTTCCTCAGGTACTAAAGTAAAATAAAAAATGGGAAGGGGAACTATGGAGGGGGTGGGAGGAAGGAAGGAAAAAGAAAAAAAAACAAGAAAAGAAGGAAAAAATGGAAACAAACCTTTTATAAATAAGAAGGGAAAGAGGGGTTGAAGGAAGTGTAGGGGAATGGGAAAAAAGGAAGAATCAAGATATATCATATACAGGGCCGGGGATTTAGCTCAGTGGTTCTGGCACCTGCCTCGAAAGCGCAAGGTCCCGAGTTCGATCCCTGGTACCAAAAAAAATATATATATATATCATATACAGGTGCAAAATCCCTGTGATGGATGTGATATATATATATATGCAAAGTATCGATAAATTTAATTAATTAAAAAAGATCTAAATGTTAAAACAGAAACACTTAATCTTCTGAAAGATCAAATAGGAAGAAAATGCTGAAAAACAAATGAATGGAGGAAGAAAATGTGGTATTTATACAGTATGGAGTATTACTTTGCCATAAAGAAGAATAAACCAGGCTGGGCGCAGTAGTGCATGCCTGTAATCCCAGCACACAGGTGGCTGAGGTAGGAAAACCACTGCAAGTTCAAGGCCAGCCTATGCTACATAGTGAGAGCCTGTCTTGAAAAAAAAAAATTAAGAAGGATAAGCTTGAGTCATTTGTAGAAAAATGGATGCACCTTGAGACCAGACTATAACTTTTAGAGAAATACATCAGACACACAAGCTTAAATATTGCACGGTTTCTCTTATATGAGAAACCCAAAAATAAATAAAGAGCGAAGTAAACAATAGGTAATAGGAAGTAGGAAGATAGGTCTTTTTCAAATGGGAAGGCAATAAGAGGTGGAGGGAGAGAAATGAGGGGAAGAGGTTGCAAAAAGAATCAAGATGTATTACGTACTCATACCAGCTCCCCACAAAGTATTGAACATTATGTATTGCAAATATGTACTGACAAAAAATAAAAACTGGAAAAAAAAGAAAGCACTGCCAAGGGGATTGGGGTGTGGCTCAGTGGTAGAGCACTTGCCTAGCATAGAGAGGCTCTGAGTTCAATCCCTAGAAACACACACACACACTGCCTAGAAATAAGGTGCATCTAGTATATGCTTCTTCTTGCAAAAAAGAATTAGAATAGCTTATCACCTACCAATCTATCAAAATATTTAAAATATGTACCTAAGCATGTAAATCCATATAGGCCTAGCATGCATAGATAAGTTCTCCCTGGAAGGCTGGACAATAAAACAAGCCATTGCCCTTGTTAGGGGAGCCAGGGGTAGGAGGTAGAGGTACGCTCCACTCTCACCCACCTGTACCTCTTGAATTTCATCCTGTGTGCATGCGTCACCTAGTAAAAGTAGGTGGAATACTTCGGGAAACAAAACTGGTTTGCATGCTCCCTGGCTGGCAGGGCAGGGTGGGGTGCAAAGCCAGGCTCCCTGCTAAACTACCAGCTGCTCATTGAGATGAAGGCTTTGGAGACAGATATCTGAGTCTCTATCCCTGCTCCACCAGCACTCTGTGACACCATGACAATTGCTTTCCTTCTCCAAACCAAGGTTTCCTTGCCTCAAAACGTGAGAGAGACTGACAATGTCTGCCCACTTACTAGATAAGGCAAATATCTGGCTCAGGGTAGGAGCTTGATGAAGTTTAATGATGATGAATCTTGTCCCCTTCTTTTGCCTGTACATGTATTCCTTTCATTTACAAGGCATTTTCCTATCTAGCTATCATGATAGACAATGTTGAGTGGGTTTTTTCTGTTTTGTTTTGTTTTTTTTGTACCAGAGATCGAACTCAGGACCTTGAACTTGCAAGGCAGGCAGTGAAACAACTGAGCTAAATCCCCAGCCCAATGTTGAATGTTTTGAACCCCAATTTATAGGTGAGACACTGAGCCTCATGATTGCCCATGGTCACATAGCAGATGGGCAGCCAACCCAAGAATTGTGGCCCAGTGTTTATGGTACTCTTTTCTCCATCCCCAGCTGCCTCTAGGTCTGAACTTTGTTGAGCGTCTTAGATTATTCTGAGAGTCAAGTGTGGTGATGCACACCTGTAATTCCAACCTTCAGGAGGCTAAGGGAGGACGATTGTTGTGAGTTCGAGCCTGGACTACATAGTGAGTTCAAGGCCAGCTTGAACTGCATAGTGAGACCCTGTCTCAAAATAGCAAACAAACAAAAGATTAGTCTCTTGGGACCCCAGAGATGGGTCTGCCTGTCCCCTTCTGTTGCTTCTGCAATCTCTCTTCCCTGACTTCCCTTTTGCCCTGGAATCATAAGAAGTGAGGGTAGTGGGGTTCTCCCAATGGTCCAGCTTGTATCAAGCTTCACCCCACAGAAAGCTGGGGCTCCTGAGACTTGCTTGGGAGAGGCCCGCAAACTTGATGGTCCCAGGCCCATATGAAGATGTCACCACAGGAGACCAGCTCAGGGTCAGCAGCTGTAATTAAGACCTTGGCTGGAGGTCATCATGGGCTGGGCTGGCATCTTCAGGCTACAGACCTGGCCCAGACACTGGGGGCAGCGACTCCCTGGGACCTATGTCCAGGAGGATATGGTTCTGTGTCATTTCATTCGGGTCCATCTCACCCCTGGGCTCCTATGGGTTCAGCTGACATCTGTCATGTTGTGCAGCACCTGGCTCACACAGAACCTGACACATGCAAGGTGCTCAGTAAACGTCTGTCCAACGGAAGAGCTGCCTCTGACTCTGTCCCGCTTATGCCCGCCTCTCCCACAGCTGCCTCCAGCACTCACCTGTTTCTGTGTACTCCAACCAACGGCCCGGGAAGTTTCTACCCTGCAGTAGCCTTGCCCCACCCCTGTGTGGTCCAGGGGACACTGGGCTGGGAGGTGGGCCATGTTCACGGGGAGCCACAGCAGAGTTACTGCAGCCCCCCTCAACTCCAAACATGGAAGAGAAAATTAGCACTGTAAATTTCCCCAACAGTGTGGCTCCTCCTCCTGGAAAAAAGCGCTGCCTTGGAGCCGCCTCTGCAGGTGGAAGTGGGCACCTGTGAGCTCAGGGCAGGAACTCCAGAGGTCCATGCTTCCCCCCATCCCCGGGCGTGGCTCTTCTGCCTCCCAGCTGGCATATCCTGCTGCCGTCCCTGTCACCCTGTCCTCCCACGTTCCCCTGGGAGGAGAAACAGGACGTGTCTGGCCCTATCTGTCAGCTCCTTCATCTGTAAAATGGGATTTGGGTTGGGGCACCTAAAGGGCGGGCTCGAGGGGGCTCTCCACCCCCTCCCACCATGGAGTCTCCCTCAGGTCCTGAGATACCACTTGTGGGTCTGGCCCCCCAAGTAGGCCCCCTGCACTCAAGTCACATCGTGTTGCCCTCCTCCATCACCTCAGCTCTGGAAGTGGGTCCAGGGCCTGCTGGCCTAGACCCATTTTTAAGTAGGGGCTGGGCAGCTGCTACTTATGCAACCCTCCCCCAGCACTGCACCCAGACAAGGGGCCCTGGACCACTGCTGCCAGTTGCCCTTCTCCTCCTCCCTTTCAGTGTTGCAGGGCAGCTGAAGCCACTGCCATCTGGGGCTTCTTATGCCCACACCCCCTCCCAGGTTCAGCTGCCCAAAGCAGGCAGTGCATTCACCAGGTCCAGCAGGAGCCAGGGAGCCAGGGAGCCCCTGAGAGGTCTGGGCTGGGACTTGTCTCTTCTGTCGGCCCCTAGCAGCAGGCAGGCAGCAGGGCAGCCTCAACATCAGGGACGGACGAGGGAAGTGGGTGGTGACACCACCCAGGTGAGAGGACAGCTAATGAAGTTCCTGGAAAGGCTCCCGGAAAGCCAACCTGGCTGTGGGCAGCACCTGGCACCTGCTGCTCCCCCTGAGCCAAGCAGAGGTTTTTCAGGGGTCCCTAAGGCCCTTGTTTCCCTGTTATCTCATCACCAGATAATCATAATGACCACTACCTTTACTGAGACAAGCTGCTCCGAGAGCCAAGCCCGAACCAACCTCTGAGCTGCACTGCTCTTATCTCCAATTTACAGATAAGGAAATGAGGCTCAAAGGGCCCGAACTGCTTGGCCAAGAGCCGTGGAACAGATTCCAACCTCCACCTGTGCTGCTTCGGAGAATTAGAGGAGAGGCACTTTTGTGTTCTTCCACTTGTAGGAAAAGAGACTCAGAGACAGGGAGATTGCCCAGGGTCACAGAACAAGATGGGAATGGTCTTTGCTGCCCCAGCTGGGTTTCCTGAGGGCTCTCCTGGGCTCTAGGCCATGCTCAGCAAGTCCCTGCTGAGCTGCAGGCTGAGTGCTCCCACCACCTAGAAAACCCAGAGGGTGCCTTGCCCTCCCCACCAACCTCCTCTGCTCCCTGTAAGAAGCTGCTCCAGGGATCTGCAAGCTCTTCAGGTAACATGACACCCAGAGTTCAGAGCATCAGAAACCAAGCACGTGATTTTTCATTTTTGTATCAAGCCTTGTTCTTAGGCACCAGTTTTGCCTTCCTGGAATTCGGCTGTTGGTGAAATGGTCTGCCTGCCCTGAGACCCCATGGCAAGGCAGGGGGTGGCCTGGACCCCCAGTGCCGGGATCACTCAGTGTGGGAGATCACTGGCCAGGGAGTGTTTGCTTCCCATACCAGGAAATGGGATCCAAACCCAGGTAAGCCAAGCCAGGCAGAGTTGTTGTTGTTGTTGTTGTTGTTGTTGTTGTTTTCCCAATGCCTACAGTTCCCTAGGACAAGGTCCCATCAGATTAGGGAGTTCACAAGGCTGATCTGTGAGACCATGGGTTCTCCTAGGACAGGAATTGTGTTCCTCAATCAGATCAGGGGCTCCCCGGGCCAGAGCTGTGTCTCCCCACAAGGCTGGTTATTCCCCAAGGACAACACTGTCTCCCTCATCAGACTAGCTACTCCCTGAGGACAACACGTCTCCCCCATCAGTCAGAGTGGAGTCTGTATCCCTCTCCAGCCACCCCCCACCCTGGGCACAGCCAAATCTACACCATATGCCACAGGGCAGCGTGTCCCGAGTGAAGATTTGGATGATGCAAAACTCCTTTTATCCCTCCCACCCCATCCCCAGGGAGCCAAGCCAGAGAGGCCGCTGGAGGAGCCACACGGGGCCTGTCTCAGACCAGTGGGGCCCAGCCAGGCCCACAGGCTCTTCTCCCTGCCTGCCACCCCCACTGGGCAGCCCGGAGCCCCCTGACCCCGTGGACTTCCATCATGGGAGATCTATAACATTTACAATCCCAAAACAAAAGACCCCGAGAGCCGAGGACAGAATTCATCTTCCCAGCTGACAAGCCCCGTTAATTAACGACTTGGAAATCGATGACGAGGAGGGACAGGCAGCAAATGACACCTCATCGTGGGCCAGGAGGAGGGAGGAAATGTCCGGGGACTGGACACGCACCGTGGGGCTGGCCTGGCGCCCAGGAGAGCCACTGCCCTCATCTGTCACTGTCACTTCAAACGCTGTTGACTTCCTCCCAACCCAGAAATTCTCATTTCCCACCATGGCAGACCCCCAAGAAAAGGGAGGGCAGCTGTGCCCAATGAGTGAAAGGGAAGTAATTTATGGAGCACCTCATATGTGTAGGCACCATGCTAGGCACATTTCCCTCATTTTAACCTCTGGCAGCCGCTGTGGGAGATGGGCCTGTTATTCCCATTTTAGGGGTGAGAACATTAAGAACTAGAGAAAAGTCAACCTAAGGCTGGTTAAGTGTGAGCCTGTGTTTTTAAATGCATAGTCAGGTGGATGAAAGAAGCAACTTGCTTAAAGCCAAAAGCTTTGGATTAGAGAGCAAAAAGTCTGAGATGGAGGCCGGACTCATCCCCACATCCATGTAGTATCCGACAAGTTCCTTGGTTTCTCCCAGCAAAGGGAGACTCAGCCCCAATCTGCTCACTACAGAGAGAGTTCAGGTTCAGGGGCAGACATGATTTTTCCAACCCTGTCGCATTCTAGGACAAGATGTAGGTGAATGGTATGAGAAGCCAGAAGGGCTGTATTGGAGAGAAGAGTTCACATTCCAAGTCAAGCCCTTGGGACCATCTGTGAGTTCAATCTTTCTTTTATTAAAAAGGAGGTGACAAGAGACAGGGTGTAGCCAGCGTTAGCATGATTGAGGCTCTGGGTTTGATCCTCAGCACTGAGAAAGAGAGAGACAGAGACAGACAGAGAGAGACAGGGAAACTTAGGCAAATAATACAAGCAAAGAGCTCAGTCTGGCCTAGCACATAGTGTGTGCTCGATGAATGTCAGAAGTGTTGGTAGTCCTGCTAGTTCTCCTAGTCCTTCTCCCAAAGAAGTGTGTATTGAAGTGCAGTGGAGTGGGGACAATTGAACATACCAAACACCTACCTGACCCAGGATTCAATGCTGAGGGCCCCAGAGAGGGAGGGGAGCGGGGCTCCTGTTGAGAGAAGGCTTCGGCCTTACAGCAGCACCTTACGCTGGCCTCACACTGACAGTGTCCATCCACTGTGATGAGCTCAACATTGGAACAGGGACAGAGTCCTCTGGGAGCCCAAGGGGAGGTGTCAAGCTCTGCCCAGAAGAGAGAGATGCGGCTGACCTGGAAGGAGGAGCAGGAAGTCACTGTGCTGGGATTGGAGCAGAGGGGGCTCAGCAGAGGGGGTTGAGGGGGTCCCAGCACCTGCACACAGTAGACCCCTCCCTCTTTCCTTCACCCATCTCAGAGCTCAGCAGGGTGCAAGTGGCATCCTGGGAACATGGGAGTCTCCTGTGGCTGCCAGGGTGTAAGGGGAGGCAGGGTGAGAGCCTAGAGAGCTCAAATGGAGAAGGGCTCTGAATGCCACAGCAAGTAAGGGTGTCTAGAGCCTTATCCACAAAGTGGGGCCAGATTCCCAAGAAGGTCTATGAAAGTCGAATTAGCACATGAAGCCAGGCTTGGTGGCACATACCTATAATTCCAGCACTTTGGGAAGCTGAGGTAGAGGGTTGAAAGTTTGAGCCCAGCCTGGGGAATTTAGTGACTTAGGAAGACCCTGCTTCAAAACAAGTTTTAAGAAAGACTTGGGAATGTAGATCAGTGCAAAGGCCCTGGGTACAACCACCCAGTCACTCACACACACACACACACACACACACACACACACACACACGAAAAAAGAAAGAAAAAGAAAAGATGCCCAACAACCCAACATTAGTCCTCAGGGAAATGTACATCAAAATCACAAAGAGTTGTCACTTCTCCCTGTTAGTGTGGCTATAAACAAAACAGAAAACACATGTTGGCAAGGCTGTGGTAAAACTGGAACACTGGGTGGGAATTTAAAAGGATACAGCCACCATGGAAACCAGCATGAAGAGTCCCCAAGAAGTGACACCAAGAGTTACCACATGACACAGCAATTCTGCTTCTAAGCTTATATACCCCAAAGAGTTGAAAACAGAGACTTTAACAAATATTTTGTACACCAATGTAGACTGCAGCATTATTCACAATAGCTAAAAGGAGGGAACAATCCAAATGTCTGTCAACAAATGAGTGAATGAATAAAATGTGGATGCACACATGGCGGTATAAGGTTCAGCCATAAAAAGCAATAAAATTATGACACATGCTACAAAGTGGATGAACCTTGAAGACATTGTGCTAAGTGAAATGAGCCAGACTCCAAAGGATAAATATTGTGTAGTTCTACTTACACTAAATATCTGGAATAGGCAAATTCATAGAGACAGAAATGGGAAGTCACTGTTTAATGGTCACAGAGTTTCTGTCTGGGACAATGAAAAAGTTTTGGAAATAGAGAGCAGTTGTGTTGGCACAACGTTGTGAAATGTAATTAATACCACTGAACTGTGCACTTAAAAATAGTTACAATGGGAAGTCTATTTTATATATATATATTTACTATAATTGAAAAAATCTTTTCTAAAGTTAAGGAAAACAATGGAGCCAAGCCTCTCTGACAGCTCTGCTTTGGCTGTCTTCCCAGGCACTGCTTCCTGGGGACCATGGAGCCCTCCCTTGGGGAGACCTTCTGGATGGGGGGTGGGAGAATTCATCATCCCGCCCCTCCTCTGTCTTTCCAGCTACCTCCAAAACTGCCACCCCACCCCTCTCCCAGCCCATGGTGGGTTGCTGGCCAGGACGGACCAGGCTGGGCCTCCCTCCAGAGCAGATGGCTTCATGCTCCGCCTCTCCCCGCTCCAAAGAAGAGACCTTTCCAGAATACGTCATCTCACTGGAGCTGTAAATGTCAAATTTAAATTCATACTTTGTACCACCTTTGATTTCAAAGCGGATTACACCTCTGTGGTGAAAGGCGGCCACAGCGCTGGGCCTGAGCAGGCCTCCTGGGCTTCCGTCGGCCCGAAGCACTGTTAACTCCTTCCAGTTCATTAGGTCTAATCCTGGGGGTGCTGAGCAAGGAGTCCTGGGCCATGCCTGCCCAGCACTCCAGACCATATGTGCCTATTGTGTCACTTGTTGGCTGAGCCTGCACCCAGCACCAGCACTGGCCCACTGGACAGGGCCGTGGCCATGGCCCGGCTTGGAGGGGCCTGGAGAGGGGCATTCACCAGAATCTACACAGGTCCTTTGAAGACTGCAGGGACCCCAGGGTGGGGAGGTTGGAGGGGCGTGTCCTAGGAGAGGCAGACAGACATCCACCTGTGTTATGTGTTTCCCCCAAAACACACTGACACTCACACTCTCACACACTTGCACACTTGTCCTTGTGCAGCACAGCTATGTGCTCAAACACTTAGTACCTACAGGTGTTCTTATACACTCATAGCCGCACCCCAGACACAACCTCACCTGTGCAGACTCTCGACACATCCATACACTCACAATACCCAACCTGCACATGTGCACCTAGGCACCTATACACACCACATCCACACTCTGCGTGACTATCCTCACACACACACACACACTGGCATACACTCCCATGCCTCCAGTCCACTCTGAAGAATTTTCCAAGTTTGTTTAAAAAAATAAAAGCTCCTAGTGTTTTCCCCTCTGACCTTTCCAATGTCCAGAATGTCAAGGCTGAAAGGGACTTTAAAGAGAATTGAATCTGTGGGTGCCGTGGTGCACATCTCTGAGTTGAGCTAATTGTGGGGAGGGCTGAGGCAGGGGGATGGCAAGTTCAAAGCCAGCGCAAGGCCAGCCAAGGTCCCAGTCTTGAAATTCGAAAAATTAAAATGGATAGGGATGTGGCTCAGAGTTCTCTGGGTTCAATTCCAAGGAGTGTAAGAAACTGAGGGGCTGGGGGTACTGAGTCAGCCCGTCTCACTGTGGGCAGACTGAGGCACACTGTGGCAGTCTGGAAGGAACAACCCCACCCTTGCTGGCTGGTTGACGTCAGACAATTCTTTTGATGCTGGGAGGCCCTGCTTCCTCGCTCAAGCTGTTTGAATCTTCTGTCTCCAGGCTGACTGGCAAGGACAACAGCACCTGTCTTAAGGACTACAACAAGGATGAAACCACATGAGGTGTGTCTGAGTGCTCTGTGCGTCCAAAAGCACACTCCCCAAGTGTGCAAATGTCACAGACCTGTGAGTAAGCAGCCATAGCAAGGCTAGAACCTGGAGCTTTATAAAAAAGAAGGCGCACCAGCCTGGACTGGGAGGTTCTGGCTAGGAAAGGATGAAAGGGCTGCAGCCGGGGCTGGATGTAGACAGGCTGTGGGCTCAGCTGCTCCCATGCTGTGATTGTAGCTGTAGTGGAAATCATGTTTTCAGGGGACAAGAGTAAACTAGGCACATCTGGCCACTGATACCTCACCAGACCTGGGTTCTGGGCCTCCAGTGCACACACTGGAGAGAACCTGTTGGCACGCAAGCTGGCTAAGAGCAACATTCAGTTAGGATGGGGCAGAAGTCAGTGGATTCCATGCCCAAGGAAGGAGACAGGCGCGTTCAACACTGAAAGCTCAGCAAAGGCAGAGTGATGGACACGGTGCCATCTGTCCACCTGTCCCTCAGTCTTTCCATCTACCTGTCCACATTTAGGAGTGGACAGAGGCTAAGGTTGGCAGGAGAGGGGTTGGATCTGTTCTGGTATTTCAGATCAACGACATGCACCGCACATGTGAGGTAGTGCTGCTCTGGAGTTGGCACCTTCTTCACAAGAACCAATCACATGCATTTCTTTCCATTTCTACATTCAGTAATGTCACGTTGGTAGCTTGAAATCCACCATGGTAGGAACAGTCACACCATGGAAATTGGCAAATACTATACATCAGAATGGGTTTTCACCAAGAGCCCATTGGTAGCCATTACCACCACAGCAGTGCTTCCTGCTCCATGCTGGAAACCTCCCATCCCTTGGGAAGTAAGTGCCTGAAGCCCAGGTACCCTGAGTATTTGCACCCTCTACACCAGCCAATGCCTCACCACCTCCTCCCACTCCTGAGTCTCAGTTCCTCCCCATAAACTTGGGGGATGAATAATTGTATTTGGAGCAAACACTCCTGGAGTTCAGTGTGCATGGAAATCACTAGAGCACCCCATTAAAAGGCAGTTTGTCTGGTTGGTCTGGGTGGGGCCCAAGATTCTCCATTTCTGACAAACTCTTAGGTGATGCTGACCTGCCTCTCTGCAGGCCACACTTCAAGGAGCCTGGGCTCCTTTGTAAACACTTAATCAGTACCCGCTACAGGTGTGGAAGTGGCCTTGAGTCTTTAATCTCCAGCTTGACCTCTCTCCTAATTACTTGTCATTTCTATTTGAATGCTTCCCTAAGACTTCAAATATGACGATTCTAAAAATTATTATTACTATTTTTTTGGTACTGGGGATCCAACTCGGGTCCTTGTGTTTGCGCAGCAGGCGGTGAAACCACTGAGCTAAATCCCTGGCCCCCTAAAAATTACTTTTTTAAAAAGAGAGCAAAACTGAAAAGAACCATCACTTCGCCCCCAAACACTTCCCTCCAAATTGTCATGCTTCCAGCCACCCTCTTTCTCTGACCCATGACCAGTTGCTCACAATGACATTCATCAAGAACATCTTGCCTGGATAGTGGGAGCCTGCTCCTTTGTCACCTAAGACAGCTGCACACCCTGCCAGCCCCCATGCCTGAAGACCAGGTAGCAGGTGGTCCCCCAACCTTGAGCAGGTCCCTACCATCTCCAGCCTGAGATCCAAGGGTCTTGCCTGCCAGGCCAGCCTGACCTTTGTCCTGATCCAATGTGCAATTCCCATGAGGTTCAAGGGCATCCTGGCTGGAGATTTACCCTCTGCTCCTTCCAGGACAGCAGAGCAGCAACCTCCCCAAGAGAACATTCTCCTGTCCTTCCCTGCCCTCTCTTCCTGAACACCCTTCTCTGCACACATCATTTGCCACTGTGCATCACTTAAAGGGCCTGGGGCCTCTTGTTTCAAGTTTGTGTCTTCTATTTCCTTCCCCTGTTAGAACAGGGGCTTTCCTAGGGCAGTGACTGTGTCTGTATCAGCCAGCCTCCTGTTACTATATCAAATATCAGAGATAATCAACTTATAAAGAGAAAAGATTTATTTTGGTTCAAGGTTTAGAGGTTTCAGCCTATGATCAATTGACCCTGTTGCTTTGGGCCTTTGGTAGCACATCAGCACATCATGGTGGAAGTGTGTAATGGGGCAAAACTCATCTCCTGGCTAGAAAGGGAAGAAAGCAGGGAAGGGGCTAGGGTCCCACAGTCCTCTTTGAAGGCACACTCCTGAGGACCTAAAGATGTCCTTCCTGTCCCACCTCCTAAAAGTTCTACCACTTCCTAGCACACAGGCCTTGGGGGCCATGGCAAATCCAGACAGTAGCAGTCCAATCATCAGACGAGGGCTTAGACTGGGGAACTCTCCCAGGTCAGGGAGACCTCCTGCCAGTGGCTGTATCAGTCCTGGGGATCCTTGTCATGGCTTGTATCTAGATGTCTCCCCAAAGCCTCATGTGCTCATAAGTAGGGCTTTTGAGTGGTGGCTGGATCAGGGGTGTGCAATAATGGGATTAAAGATGTGTGATAACTAAATTGGTTCAGCATAGTTCTGGGTATGGATAATGGGCAGGCCCACCCTGGCTGTGGTGTAGCCTGATGGAATATAAAGGGGGCCTTGCTGCTTGCTGCTTCCTGGCTGCCCTGACATGGACTATTTCTCCTCTGCAATCCCCCTCTGCTGTGCCACCCTGCCTTGGAGCCAGTTGATTATGGACTGAAACCTTTACAAACTGTGAGCCAAAAATAAACCTTTCCTTCTTTAATTTTGGGCGGTGGATATGTTGTCTCAGCAACGAGAAAAGTAACTAAGACAGTCCTCTTGGGGGAGTCCAGGTCTTCTCCACCAACTGGAATGGGTAATGTCACGTTTCTTTGTTTCCTGTCCTTTTGCAACTACATCCATGGGACTTGAGCTCTGCCAGTGAGGGTTCCCAAGCCCTCCTCTCTTCAGCCCACCCTGGGCCCAGCTAGATGGAAGAAAAAGCAGCCCCCAAAATCATCTCCAAGGTAACTTCTCTGCCAGGGAAGGATCAGCCTAGACTCTGCCTCCATCACCGGCCCCACCCAGGGGCTCCAACACCTGTTTACAGCACTGCTCTGGCATGCCAAGGACGCCCAGGACTCCCAGAGCCGCTTGTTAATTAATTGCACTAATTAGCAGGGATGATGCTGGACATCTGGACCCTCCCATAGCTGAGTTCAGACCCTCAGTCCTCTCAGGTTGAGGACAGTTGCCCACTGGGGGCCTGTCTAGCCTGCCAGACCTAGGGCCCCTGCAGAAGTGCAAAGCACCCCACATATACACCCTAATGGACAAAATGTGGCTAGGTCAGTACAGAGTAAGGAGCCTTAAGTTGCCTTCCTACAAAAGATCCCCTCCACCTAGAACAAGGACAGGAGGACAGACTGGCTCTGCCCAGGCCAGGAAGGACCCCTGCAGTGGAGAAGTGCTAAGCCCCGCTTTGTACCCTTGCCCTTCCTCCCAGAACACACTTACCTCTTGTCCCTCTCATCCCCAATACAGAGAACACTCACTGTTCTCTGTTTGAATGCCTCTCTAGGGTCAGAATGTGATGGCTCTAAAAGGCAAAACCACAAAGATTCTTCACCTTTGCCATTCATTCATTCATCAGCAAACATTCATTGAGTACTGACTCTGAGTCAAGAATGATGCCAGGCACCGACATGCAGCTGCCACCAAAACACAGTACTGTGCACAATGGAGTGTTATTCAGACATGAAAAGGAATGAAATTTTGATATATGCTACAACATGGATAGAACTTGGAAACTAAAATAAGTCAGATGTGGAAGGATTTGTCTTTCCACTTTGTAAGATTCTACTTACATAAGGTATCGACAATAGGGAAATTCAGAGACAGAAAATAGAACAGGTTACCAGGAGCTGCTGGTGGAGGAGGGAATGGGGAGTTATTGTTTAATGAGCACTGAGATTATTTTGGGGACAATGAAAAAGTATAGATAGTGGTGATGGCTTTGCAGGGCATTGCAAATGTTTATAATGCCACTGGATTGTACACTTGCTGAATGCATAAATATATATATTTTATCATAAGCAAATAACACAAACAGGAATCCATTTCTTTTTTTACTTCATT